TGGTCGTTGCCCTCGGTGGAGGTACGGCGATCGATATCGCTAAAATGATCGCATCGATGGCCCTGCACGATTCATCGCCGCGAGAGATCGCAACAAAGGGCTTGGCGTTTCCGCAAGGGACGTTACCTCTTATCGCAATTCCCACCACCGCAGGCACGGGAAGTGAAGCGACTCATTTTGCCGTGGTGTACGTCGACGGCGAAAAGTATTCTGTCGCCGATCCATGCTTGCTTCCCGAAACGGCAATTGTTGATCCAAAGCTGACCTACAGCGTGCCAACACGCATGACAGCCGCGACTGGGTTAGATGCTTTTTGCCAGGCCATCGAATCGATTTGGGCCGTAGGGGCAACCGAAGAGTCTGTCGGTTACGCCAAAGAAGCAGCTGCGTTGGCATTTGCTCATTTGCCCACCGCGACAAACAGCCCCACCGAAGAAGCACGCTATGCAATGTGCCGAGCGTCACATCTCGCCGGCAAAGCGATCAATATCAGCAAAACGACGTTACCTCACGCGATTTCTTACGCGATTACCGCTGACTATGGAATTCCACACGGAGCCGCTGTCGCGACGACGTTAAGCAGCGTGCTTGCATACAACTTTGGCGTGACTTCCAGCGATTGCGCCGATACGCGAGGCGCACCACACGTTCACCAGCGGCTTTCCATGATCTTGGAAATCCTCGGAGCCGCGACCATCGCCGAGGCGTGCCAGCGAGTTGAATCGTTTGTAAGTTCCCTGGGATGCAATCCGACGCTCGTATCGGCAGGGATTCATCAGCACGAAAAGATTCGCACGCTTGCAGAGCGGGTCAATCCTGAACGCCTCTCGAACAATCCTCGGAAAGCGAATCACGAAGATCTCTTCAGTTTGCTTAGCGGAAAGAACCGCTTGCCCCTAAAGCCTAACGCTCGTATTTCAGCACCTCGATCTGCGGCAAGCTGACTTCACTCGTAATCAGAAAGCCATATTGGTTCCCATGACATCACCAAACTTAAAAGTACGTCTGGCCGTTTTTGATTGGGCCGGAACGACGATCGACTTCGGTTCAAGAGCTCCTGCAGCGGCGTTCAAAAAAGTGTTCGCATCGCATGGGGTTGAAGTCACCGATGATGAAGCACGACGACCTATGGGGTTGAATAAGCGAGAGCATCTTGTGGCAATGCTTTCCGAAGAACGCGTCGCAGGCGAGTGGCAGTTGGCCAAAGGTACCGCCTGGACAGAAGCAGACGTTACACAGCTTTACGACGAATTCGTTCCGTTCCAGCTGGATGCAATTCGTCAGAACAGCCAACTGGTGCCTGGTCTCGCTTCAACAGTCGACGCTTTAAAAGCCCAAGACATCAAAATTGGTGCGACGACCGGATACTTCCGCGCCGCAGCTGATCTGGTAACCGAGGCCGCCAAGCAACAAGGCTTCGTGCCGGATGCGATGACATGTGCTGATGATGTTCCTAAAGGTCGGCCTGCCCCTTGGATGATTTTCCGACTTATGCAGAAACTTAACATCTATCCACCGCAATGCGTGGTT